TTCATGTTGCCAGAGTTCAATAATACATTTATCTTACAAGATCCCAGTAATTCTTCTGTGAATAATACTGAATAGAGATCAGATCAGAAATAAGGATGCCAGTCACTGCATTAGGTCCTTAGAGATTTCTGTTCACAGCTGAGACAGCATCTTCTGTTTATTATCTCTTCCCTCACCGATTGTCACTTCTGCATCCCCAGGGACACGTGCTGGTTATGCAGTGGTCATTCAACACAGAAGAAATGAATAAATTATCAATGGAGCCCAGAACTTTGCTGGATTTCCACATGAAATGATGCAAAGTACTGGAGGTTATTTTCTCATTCAGCTGTGCAGAACTGAAGACACCAGACAACCAGTACTGTGTATGTAGTACAAGATCTGCCTCTGATGTCTCCAGCATCTGGCTTCTCCAGGAATCAGCCTCCTGATCAGCACTGGCGTGCAGACTGCCCCATTTCTATTTTCAGTCTCCTAGTCTCCTCCTGTTCTTTAACAACCCGTTCTATCAAAATCACAGATATTATATCAGACTCTTATTTGGCAGAATTGCCTTTAAATACTGAGCAGTTGAGGGCTAAAAGGAGCCTCAAAGGTGATCTAATGCATCCATTCATCAGACAGGTGTGAAAATTGAAGAAGTACAGATGACTCCACCTTGTGTATTGGCAAGGTGGTCAATGAGAAGCCAGCATTGTTAGAGAGATGTCTAATTACTAGATAGGGCCAACGAAGACCGCATTCAAGGAGCAAAGTTTTCCTTATGATTTTAGACAACTTTCTATGTGTAGATAGAAAGGGAGAAAACCCTACTAAGTAATTTCTCAGTTATATCAGCCATAGTTTCCTTGAATGGAAAAGGATCTATAAAGAGAAAAATAAAACAAGATAGAATTCTTCTCTATGCAAAAGTGCATGCAACAAAAAGAAAAAATGTTACATTATTTTACTTATACCTAGAAAAGACAAATCCATACAGGTGGGAAGTAGAACGGTGGTTACCAAGCTGTGGGGGACGGAGGTGGGGATTATTATCTCATGAACACAGAGTTTCAGTTTGGTATTATGAAAAGTTCTGGAAATGGACAATACTGATGGACAATAGCCCAGGATGAAGGTATTTTATGTCACTGAGTTAAATGTTTAAAAATGGCTAAGATGGTAAAGTTTATGATAGGTACATCTCACCAAAATAAAAACATATTTAACAAAATTCCTTACAACAGCTCCTTCTGAGCCTATGACGTTCTCCTCCTCCTTCTGAAGCAGAAGCAGAAATATTCTGAATGAACTGCAAAGCTCCGAGCCTGAACTGAAAACCAACCTAGAATCTTCCCACAGCTAAACGCCCAGATTTTCAACAACCAAATTCAATCATATCAGAAATACTGGAACACTCAGCAGGAAACAACACAAGGAAAATGTTAGTTAACTTTAGCAGCTGTTCATATACCTTGCTTACAATGACAGCCATCTGATCAAACAGAGTTGTCTTCTGCCCATGCTAAACTCAGATTATCTATCAGAAAAAAAAAGATGCTTGTGAACCACTGGGTTATAATGTAAAAATTCAGTGGAGAATTTAGAATAGTGTTCTTCTGCACTCCTTAAGACATCAAACATTAGACATTTTAATTATAATTTAAGTAGATAAGAAGTCCAAGTCTCAGATATAGTCACTTTATCATGGGTTGAAGGACTGAATAAGCCAGGTGTACATCATCAGTGTATAACTCAAAACATCTTTCCGCATTAGACTACATGGCACATACATATTCATACCAAAGAACTCTTGCCAAGACATATGGAAAACAGTCTTAAAAGATAGTGAAACATGGGAACCAATCCAAACTGTCCGTCAATAAGAAAATGGCAAAATAAATTGTGAGGTATTTATTTTAAAATTACTATATGATTTTATGTAACATGGGTAATTCTTCAAAACTTACGTATTGAGTTTCAATACCTTTCCTAGAAATCATAAAACATCTAAACCTAAATAATATGTTGTTTAGAGAATTCATATATATGTCATGAAATTATTTTACAATTAAACCGCAGAATAATTTGCACAAAATTCAGAGCTAAGAGGGACACAGGGAAAGGCACAGGAAAGGAATACAAAGAGGCGAGATGACCAGTAAAAATCCAGCTCCTCTTTGCCCCAGCTGACTGTATATTTTCTTTAGCAGTTTTATAGAGTTATAAATCACATACCACAACAATTTAAAGTGTACAATCTGTTTGATATACTCACAGATATGTGCAACCATCACCACAGTCAATTTCAGAAACGATTGCTGTACACTTTATCAGTCACCCCACACACCAAATCATACCTGCAGCCTCTATCCCTAAGCAGCAACCCATCTGCTTTCTGTCTCTGTAGATTTTCTCATCCTGGATATTTCCATATGCATGGAATCATACAATATGTATTCTTTTGGGAGTGCTTTCTTTCACCTAGCATGTCTTCAAGGTTTATTCATGATGTATCAGGAACAATACATCATTCTTTTTTATGGCCAAATAACATCCCATTATAAGGCTATGACACATTTTATCTATTCATTCACCAGCTGATGGATATTTGGCTTGCTTCCACTGTTTGACTATTATGAATGGTCTTGTACAGGTTTTGTATAGAGACATGTTCTCATTTCTCCTGAATATATACTTACAACAGAGTTGTTAGGTCACATGGTAGCTGCTTAACTGAAAAGCTGTCAAACTGTTTTCTCAATAAGCACAACATTCTATATTCTCACTTGCAATGTATAAGCTTCTAATCCTTGCATATCGTCACCAACACTGGTTACTATCTGACTTTTTAACTGATTTGCAGTTCCCTGATGATTGGTGACATTGAGGCTTTTTTCATGGGCTTATTGCCCATTTGTATATTTTCATTGGTGAAATATTAATTCAGCTTCTGTGCTCATTTTTAAACTGGGTTATTCTTCATTTTATTACTGAGATACAAGAGCTTTTCATATTTTTTAGATAACTGTTCCTTCTCAGGTACATGATTTTCAAGCATTTTTTTCCATTCTGTGAGTTATCTTTTACAACTATCTAGTTCCCACACCTTAGTTCTAAACCTGGTGATGGGCTAGTGGGTGTTCCTTTGAATTATGATATTCATGACTTTGATAGAGCATATTTCTGTATAACCTATTACATAACTGATTAAAACTTTATGCTTACAGATATCTGTTTAAAACATTTAAAGCAAAACAAAATATCATAATGCCCCCGAAAGCTAATGCTATTCTTAACAGCATTTAACCTAACTGAAAGCATAATTTAGGGACTTAATAAATGTAGTCCATTAATCCTTTTGAAAAAATCCTCTCTGAACTCCTGCTCAGGGTGCGTGGGAGTAGCTAAGGTTTGCCAGCAGGACAAATCCACTCCCCTTTCTTTTTTTGTTTGTATTTCTCCCTCCTTCCCAGATGAAGAATGATTTGTATGTCGATTCTAAGTGTCTGGAAATAAAGAAGAAAAATATTTTTCATTCCTGCTGAAAATTATATAGATCTCAATTTCAATATCGACAAAGTGAAACACGGTCACGCCATTCCTTTATGTCTTGACTCTGGCTGCTTTCAACCTACAATAATAAAATGAAATAGTTGCTGAAGAAACCACATGGCTTGCAAAATCTACATATTGACGTTTAGCTTGTGATTCAACAAAGCTTGCCAACAAATTAACTTACTTCTTTCAAAGTTGCACAGAAAAGTCTACTTGTAACTAGCAAAGACCACCTTGGCAATTACCTTCAGGTTTCTCACAGATGCCAACTTCTATTTCTGCATCCTTAATAAATGCTGATGGTCTAATTTTATCAAGCATTTTAAAGTTTGAGACTTCAGGGAGAAAAAGTCTTTTCTTGCAAATATGCCAGGTCTTCAAGAGTTCATGCCCTCGACATAGACAAACTGTAACTATTTTCACAGATCGTAATAGTTTATTCATTTGATGAGCTGATTGTCATGTAGTGCTGGAAAAAACTGTGCAAACCTTTTCTAACCCTCAACAGGTTTATAATCTAAGCAGATGCGAGCAACCATCATTTCCCCAAAGATACTAGTACTGTTGTAACCTTACATTACGTGGACTTAGAGCACCAAGAATTAAAGACATCTAGATAAGCAGCAAACAAACAAGGCTCTGCAAACTCTTGTAAATAAATTGGGTGGATATAAACTCCATAGGCTTCTGTATTCCTACGATTTTGTCATCAAAAGTCCTTGACCTTTTGGCTAAGTTATCTCTGCTCTGGCTGGCCAAACCTAAATTCTAGTTCGGTATCCTAAATGCAGTAGGCATCGTTTTGGAAAATGCATCAACTTAAATGTTGCTAAAACTTGCAGCTCATCTGCGGTGCTATGAGACCAAGGATTCCCACATGCACCTCCGGATCAGGAGCCCTAAAAGTGATGATAACGCGGCTGCTTGCACAACAACCTTCTCTCCCATGCAGTCGCGAGCCTGCTGCAAGGGGACCATTTTCGGAGCCGTGCCTCAAAGCCTCGGTAGCCTTTGCATTTTTTAGAAGTGACTCATCGCCTCAAGTCAGGTTTCTGCGGGGACGCCAGATGGGTTTCTTTCCAGCACCGTCTGACCACGGTGGCCTCGATCACATCGGTCTCAGTGACAGCCACCACTGCATCTCGGCAGAGCTCAGAGCGCAGCGGACAAGACCCCTCAAAGTTAGCGTGGCCTGGGGCGCGGGGCTCCGGGGCGGGTGGGCAGGCCGCAGCCGCTGGGCGCGGGGATCCGGAGGTGGCGCGGGCGGGGCGCGCTCCTGCGCTGACCCAGATGGAGCTCCCCGCGTCCCGCGCCCGGCCCTCGCCGCCTCCCGGTGCCCCCGGCCCCGCGCCCCGGGGCTCTGGCCCCCTCCCGCCCCCGCGATGGGTGCAAGTTGCGAGCGTGGCCGGCACCTGCACCCCGCCGCTCCCCACGCTCGCCAGCCCGCGCCGCGCCAGGATTACCTGCTCGGAGCGCTGGGGTCGCGTCCTCCGCGATGCAAATCCGTGATCGGTCCCCGGCGCCCTCCTCCCCTCTCTTCCCACTGCCTCCGCCCCCCGTAATGGGAGTGGTTGTCAGTCACGCCGCGCCCGGGGAGAGTCGCCGCGGCTTCCGGGAGCTCCAAATACAGCCGGGCGCAGAGGCGGGGGGAGGGAGCGCTGCGCCACCGGGGTGTGCGGAGTGAAAATAAAGGGGAGCCGAAGGGAGCTGGGTGGGGAGGTGGAGGAGAGGAGGGGCAGATGGGCCGTGGGAGAAGGGTGCAGGAGATGAGGAAGGCAGAGGCTGGGGGAGGAAGCGCCTGCCAAGGAGAGAATTCCCTGCAGCAGGCAGTAATGCAAAGAGGTCTGGAAGGATCTGGAGGCTCCTGACTGAAGGGGACACAGAAAGGTTGGGTCCCCGTGGGTTTGGGATCTGTGCAGGGAGGTGGGCAGCGGGACAGGCCTGTGCGTCCCCATCCCCCAGTCTAAGGGAAAAGGCCGGTTTTGGGGGAGGGGAGCAGTTAGACATCTGATGCTTTAGCGAGGCATCAAGATCAGATGCATTTATAACTCGCAACCTTGTTTCTAAAAAGTATTTTATACACAGCAACTTTTAAAAGTTGCTTGATTTAGAAACAAATGTAACCAAATACAGTTTACTTCCCAAAATGTTATTTGTAGCCATTTTCCCTTTATATATTGATCGTAATGGGAAATTAAACTCCTTTCCGTTTACATTATTAGATTGGTGACCATTGATTTTGAATTTTCATTAGCGTTTGTGTGAAAATTCTAACTGAAAGGATGAAAGGATGAACTTAAGGTGTCCATGGTTGAATACCTAGGACCTAATCGCAGACCAGAAAAAAGGGGTGGAGGATGTGACTGACTCTTTCCTAAAGCAAAGTCTCCAAAGACGAATCTCTGAAAAGCCAGCGTCTCTCTCAATGTTGAAATTGCATCTTACTCAGTTCTGTGCGTGGCACGCCTTATTCTGACCCAGTAGGTCGCAATTTAAATGAAGGTCATTCCTATTACAAGTTTCTGTCTCCCAGCAGTGGACTGTGTAGTGGCTCTTCGGTGTCCTAGGTCTGCACGATGCTTACGTGGCACATCAGAGTCAGCATCATGCCTACCTTGCATAAGGTAGGTGTCCAGTAAAGTTATACCGAATAACTGATGGATGGATGGATTGTACCTGCAGTTAGAGCATGTATGTGCCAGGAATCCAGAAAGTAATACATCCATGAGAACCACAATATTCGGGACCACAGGAAACTTCCAAGTATCCATTCCAAGGTGACTACTTAAGTTCAACATCACTAGAGCATTTCTTTTAGCTAAGTACAGCTGTCTGCTGTCACTGTAGACACCAAAAGCTGCCAGTACTCCAGTCCTTATGTAAAATGGTGTAGCATTTGCCTATACCCTATGCACATCCTTCTGTACATGTTAAGTCATCTCTAAGTTATTTACAATGCCTCACATAATATAAATGTTCTGTAAATAGTTGTTATGCCTGATGGTTTAGGGAATAATGACTAGAAAGAAGTCAGTACACATTTAACATAGACACACTTTTTTCCCCCAGATATTTTCAATCCATGGTTGAATCTATGAATATGAAACCCACATATACACAGGGCTTGAATGTAGATTTTATTTTGGAGTATGCAGCGCTATGGAGTTTAAGAGAGAATGAGGCAAGATCCTACTAGATTTATACTATACCAGGGAGATGCAGTATAAAAATAACCACAGTGCAAGAAGACTATAAAAAGTGTCCTGGGTGTGAAAAGAGTTGTGTGAGTTGAAAGAAGAGAAGGAGGTTGCTTCTGGTACTAGGAACCAGAGAATGCTTCCTGCCGGAAGTAAGAGTTGAGTCTTCACGTGGACATTGAGGAGGAGCTCTCAAGATGTAGGAGCCAAGGAGAAGAGGCAGTGAAGATCAGAGCTGCATGCAGGGTGTGCTGTGAGCACAGCTGGAGCAGAGAGCTGTGGGTACCAGGTGTGGAAGGAGGGCTGAGCCTTCAGGTTTAGCCTGAGATGTTCCAGACCTAGGTAGTAGGCGCCAGAACCATAATAATAGTTAAATATTGATGGTACTGCTTAGGACTAGAAACAGGTAAAAGGGGGAAACCTGCTTTAAAATAACTCAGTACCCTAGAGGGGAAAGAGCATTCTTCTCTTAACCAGTTCCCCCCTGCATAGCATCCATCTGCAGCCTGATCTTCCCAAAGGAAATAAACCCCAGTGAACTCACCTCCTCTCGGTTCTCTAATGCTCGTTGTCCATGGCTTCCAACTAGACCTGTAAAAGCCAAGAACACAGGGATTATGTTTGTTTGGTTTGTGGCCATCTTTCTCAGGGCTGACACATGATGATCACTGAATGAATATTTGCAATCCATTTTTCTGTGCCAGGATCAGCCCTGAAGGTTCTGGAATGGGAAAGAAGAGAAAGATTCTGGGCTTTTCTAAATCTCGTAAGTCTTTCTTAAGATTCTAACCTGAACCTGTCTCTCTCCTTAGCAGATGATCTCTTTATCTGTTGTACCAGGAAGAGGATTTTAATTTCTACTCCTTCAATTTTTCCCTCTTTACCTAGAAATTTCTCCTGTCTTCTCTGCAATCTTTATTTTTCTCTTGACTTGCTGTCACTTTCCTTGTGAAAGCTAGGAATATTCTTGTCACTTGAGGTCCTTCCTTTTGCATCCTGAGTCTCCTTATCTTCTGTTGTGCCTACAGGTTACATTCCAGTTTCACCCAGCTAGGGGTGTACCTGAGGGCTATCAACGCAGTGGACTCATGAGGAAAGAGGAGACGTCCCTGGTGTGGGCCTATTGTTCTTCTGTCTGTTTTCATTGGGTAAAATTTTGGAATGAATTGAGTTTTGCTGGAAACTCAACAGAATAGGTGACCCAGAGCCTCAGAATTTATACTCTGCAAAGTCACACAACTATCAAGTAGAATCCAGGCTACCATGATGCCTTTCTAGAATCTACTTCTGAGATCCTATCCGGTTTACTCCCGAGGTTCTTTTATGCTGCTCTAACACTACACCTCAGACTGAGTAATCTACAAACAGTAGAAATTTATTTCTCATAATCCCAGAGGGTGGAAAGTCTAAGATCCAGCGGAGAGTATATATGGTGTCTTGTGAAAGCTCACTCTGTGTTTCTAAATAGCACTCTGGATTTTTTGGTAAAGATTTTAAAATACAACAAAACAGTACAGAACAAAGCCAATCAAGACAATGCAGTGAAATTGGTATAGAACGTCAGAGCAGGATACCAGGATAACAATAATAGGTACCATAGTATACCTTGTTGTCTTCACAATTGTTGTCCATTCAATCAGGTATAGCAAAATCAAACCAAAAACAGAACACTGTAAAACCAATCAAAATAGAATATAGAATAGAGCAAAACAATTAATCAGAATAAAGCAAAACAATGAAAGCAATATTGGTTTCTTCAAAGAGAAGATAGAAGGAAATCCCCCATATTTGCTATAATGCATACTGTCATCCTCCAGAGAGAAGCTCAGACTCCTGGCCCCAGGTCAGCATAATCAACCCAACAATACAAGCACTTAGTTGCTTTATGTACCTTAGTTGCTATCAACTCTGGCTGATCTCAGACTATCCAGTTGCTAAGTGGGGGAGGACATTGGATTCTCAGCCCACGTGCCAGTGGGCTCACGGAAGACACTGACTTATTCTCTCCCTGGAGTGCCCGCAGCTGGCTCGTGCCACTTACCAGGAAGGATGGCCCTAAATAGCACTCTGTTATTGTGTCCTCACATGGCAGAAGGCAAAAGGCTAAAAAGAGACAAATGCTGTGCCTTCACATGGTGGAAAAACAAAAAGGGACTAATGTATTCCCTTCAACCTCTTTTATAAGTGTTCCATCCGTGAAGGTAAAACACTCATGCTTTAATTGGCTCCCAACACACTCTACAGCTTAACACCAAGACATGTAGTATTAGGTTCCAACACAGGACTCTTGAGGGACATTGAGACCAGAGACCAGAGCAGGTCTCAGAGTGCCTGCATAACATCCTGCCATGTGGGAGAAGGGCCATCTCTAAGTTAGCTTGGTGAAAAGTTCTCCCACAAAGGGTGAAATAGATGGGAACAAACAGACCCAAGGAAATAGTCTCTACTAAGCAGCAGTCATGCTGGCACATGCTGGATTGCAGGTTGTGCTTGGAATGAAGCCAGGCCAGAGTTCCAGGTCTTTCCATGCAGCCTGCCCACCCATGTGGTTGCTGAGGTTACAAGACCCAGATTATTGGCACCTGCTACTTTTGGTAGTCATTTACCCTGGTAATATTGTCTCTTACTAGGAAGTAGAAAACATAGTGAACACAATGATCTTTTGAAATTGTTCCTGATTCCTGAGATAGACAAGATAATAATAAGAATGTTCTTCCACAAACATGTCTTTTCTGGAATCAAAAGCTCTGAAGAAACAAACTTAAATTAGTTGAAATTTTTCACAGTATACCACAGGAGTTTGCATTCTAGCTTAATAACTATCCAGTGAACATTATTAGGTAATTTTCTCAGCAGTCCACTCAAGAACATTTATTCTCCAAATAGTTAATGGCCCACTATGTTCCATACTTGTGGGTTCTGGGAATGTAGCACTCTAAGCAAAAAGAATAAAATTGCATTTAACCCTTGTTTTGGTTACTTATCTCTCATTGCTGAGACAATGCCTGAAACCCAACATGAAGGAAGGAAAGGTTTATTTAGCTCACAGTTGGTGGAGGTTTCAGTCTATAATCAGGCGGGGTGGCATGGCACTGGGGCGGTACTTCAAGGCTGCAGAAGACGGCTAAAGCAGCAGGAGCAAAAAGAGAGGCAGAGGGAGAACAAGCCTCTTCTCCTCCCTTATACTGTAAGCAGGCTACCACCCCCTAGGGTGGGTGTAGCACACCGTCTCAGTGTCCTCTTCTTGAACAGGATGAGGACATTTACAAAATGAGGACCCTGGCCACCTGCTGAGTTACTTAGTTAAAATTCTAAACTTCTCAAGTTGAAACAACGTATCAATCATTACAATCCCCTATCTCCATAGTTTCTACATCTAAGGATTCAACCAATCACAGACCTAAAATATTTGTGGAAAAAAATGTGCCCTTAATGAATATACATAGACTTCTTTCTCATTATTTCTTAAACAATACTGTATATCAGCTACTTATATGGCATTTACATCATATTAGGTACTATAAGTAATCTAGAGATGATTTAAAGTATACAGGAGGAGGATGTGCATAGGTTATATGCACTTGCCGTAAAAGATTTGCATGCTCTCAGGTTTCAGTATCCATGAGGGTCCCAGAACCAGTGCCCAATGATAACAAGGAGTGACTGTTATCAGTGAAATTTACCAGGCCTTTAATACATGCCATTTTAAGTGTATTAACTCTTCAGACTTATGAGTTGGATACTGTTATCATCTTCAGTGTGTAAATGAAAAAAACAGGCAGAGGGACTTAGCCTTTATCTCAAACCATAGAACAATACTGATAGGGGGATTTGGACTCAGGGGTCTGGCTTGAACTTGTGCTCCTAATCAGTGCATTTACTGAGTGGAAGTAGGAATGAATGGAAAACTACCAGCTGATAATGTAATGATTGGTTACTAGAAGATTAGATGTCTGAGGAGTTGTGAATCAAACTAAGAATAAAACTGAGCTAACTCACTTCTATGGGCTGATGTACCTACCAATGATGAATATGCCTACAGGAAGTAACATAACTGTAAATATGTGTCCCTTGACACCCACGGGAGATTCATTCCAGGACTCTAGCATATCCTCAGATGCTTGAGCCCTTCCATAAAACAACATGGTATTTATATGTAATCCATGCACATCCTTCTATGTACTCCAGATTGTCTCTAGATTACATATAATATCTAATCTTAAGTGTTGTGTTAATTGTTGTTACACTGTATTAAGGAAAAATGACATGAAAAGGTGACTATCTTGCAGAAAAAAATGTTTTATTTTTTCTGTTTTAGCTTTAAAATGAAAAAAGAAAAAATCAAAAAGATGATACAGAATTTCAAAACAGAGTATTAGAGGATTAACAATGGGCAATGTGCTGTGTATTGTTATTTTCAAAGTAGTTGTTTGGATTACCAGATATATGTATGAAAAAATGATCAAACAATGAAAGCATGAACCATTCTTTTTGTTGGGCTAACAGAGATTAATAGTATAATTATCTATCACATATAATATAAATTATATAGTATATGATACATATTAAATTATATATTATATTAGAGTATATTATTTATTATATTATATATCATATATTATTATATTATTATATATGATATATATAAAAATCTTGCCCTGTTTTCCTTTTCTCCTTTCCCTCACCTTAGTTGTTCTTTCTCTTTGTAACCGTTTCCTCTCCTTCACTTTCTCAGTATCTATTACATATTTTGAATCTCTCTAGCTCCTTCAGTTTTTTATACTAGAGAGACAGCATGATTTTCACCCATGTGAGTGTGAACTATTTCACTCATGAGCATGACCTCAAATTACATACATTACCTACAAAAACATCGAGATTATCCTTCTTATAGCTGAGTATCTTTCCATTACATAAACATACTGTTATCTTTCTTGTACATTCTGAGGTTGTAGGCATCTACCCCTGCTTTTTTATGGTTCCCTGTCATATGGAGTGTTGTTTTCTCTCCTTTGACTTTCAATCTGTGAATTTCCTTTCAAGTTAAATATGTTTCCTGTGTATAGCACATTGATGAGTCTTGTTTCTTGATCCACTCTGCCTGTATTTGTTTTTATTGGTGAATGAAGGCGATCTACATTAATTGTTATGACTGATATGCACCAGTCCTCTCTGCCGTGCTATTTTTCTACCGTTGGCTCCCTACTTTCCCCCCTTTTGGCAATCCCCTATTCCTGCTGTTCCTGGAACCATGTTCATCTTTATATCTCTCTAGAATATCCTTCAGTACTCTTTGTACGGTTGGTTTTATGGTCATAAATTCCTTCAGTTGTTCTTTGTCGTGGAAGTATTACACCTTTCCACCAATTTTGAAAGATAACTTTGCAGGTATATCAATCTGAGTTGGAAGTTGTTTTCTTTCACGACTTCAAATATTTCACTCCAAGCTTTTATTGACTTGATGGTTTGTATTGAGAAGTCTGCCATGATTCTGGTGGATTTTCCCTTATAGGTGATCTATTTCTCCTCTCTGATAGCTTTTAATACTCTTTTTGTGATGAATTTCTGGAGTCTTGGTTTGGGTTTAGATTTATTTTTGGTTATGGATAGCTGGAGTTCTATATGTCTCATTTGTCGGTATGTCAGCTATTTTTCCCATGATTGGGGAATTTTCTGCTATTACTTCTACAAATAGTCTTTTTATGTCATTTGTGTTGACTCCTGCTTTTTCGCTGACATCTATTGAACTTAGATTATTTTTCTTGTGTCATCGTGCAGCCGTTGAATTGTTACGTCCTGGTTCCTTCTTATTTTTAAGACAACTTTCCTTTCATGATCACTAGCTACAATCCTATCTTAAGGTCTAAAAGTCTATCTTCAGTTACACTTATGCAGTTTTGCCAGCCTTCAAGGGAGTTTTTAATTTCCTGGATATCTCTGAATCTATTTCATGCATTGTAATTTTTTTCTGTATTGTTCATTCAAAGTTCCCATTATTTTTCTATGCTCCTCTTTTTTAAAATATCTATGTCTTTTTTAGATATGTTCAATAGTTATTTCATTATGGTTATCATTTATTTTACCTGAGGTATTATTTTTGATCTGATTTCTTTTACAGCCTAATGAAGTTGTTTCTTGACTTCAGTTGCTACCTGCTCCGAAATTTCAGGTATGCGAATTCCAGTTTCTTCCATGTCTATGTATCCTAGACTTATTCTGTGTGAGCTGGAGGTCTGAGCTTGCATTTTGCTCCATAAAGGACATTTTCCTGGGTTCCTCCAGACAAGCTGGTTGTGGGTTCCCAGGTGTTTCCCACATTGGCTGCCAGTCCATGGTATAGGGGAAAGGGCCAGTTGCCTGAGGGTATCTGTACCTGTTTTCCTGGGGAGGTGGTGGGGTACAAGGTGGGCTTTTCCAGGCCTTTGTGGCTACATTGAGGCATCTCCAGTGGCTGTGGGCATGCAGGGTCAGGGCTGCTTCTCCTCCTGGCCTGTGTTGGCTACCAGGGGGAAAGTTCCCCATTAGTGGCAGAAAGACTCATGAGGTTGTAGCTCACTGCTTCTCCTAACCTGCGCTGGCTCTGAAACAATGTTTTTTAAAAAATATTTTTGATCTACCATAGGTTGAATCCCTGGGTATTGAACCTAAGGATATAAGCTGGCTGTGTACCTTGGAGTCAGTTATGCAGCTAAGAGGCAGGGCAAGTGAATAAGTCTCTCTTGGATTCATGAGACGTGAAGTCTAGTGCTATGTATGTAAAATGCAAACTCCCTTGGAAGAAGTAACTGCCAGTCACTGAATATTTATTTGGGGTGAATGAATTCTTTGAATTCTCTTCTCAAAGGAACCAAAGTAACTCAACTCTTAAATACTGACACTCTTGCTTTCCATTGGAGGTTCATGCCAGAGAACTGAAAGACTTTAAACAAATTTCAATTGTCCAAACTGTGCCCTATCAAGGGTTTCTTTTTTTGTTCTATTTTTAAAGTGTCAGGGTCCTACTGTGTTGCCCATGCTGACCTTGAACTCCTCAGCTCCTGTGATTTTCCAGTCTCAGCTTCCCAGGTGGCTGGAAAAATTGGTTCAAAAGGAAGAACTTAGTGATGAAGGTACATAGCACACAGCACACAGAAGAGCTGGATGTAGTCACATCACCTCCAGAGTGTTACATCTGTCACTCACTTTCTCTCCACCATCATCCATAGATCTAGCCTCTTCTGGTTACAGGTGACTTTCAGAGTTACATAGTCTCAGCACCTGTAAATACATTGAATGACAGTAGCGCACATGACTCCTTTTCCTCCAGTGACAGTTCTTTGTCATCCCTTTGATAGTTCTGTCCACTGTTAAATGGTTCAGAGAGGACAAAGGACAGGTGCAGAAGTTGAGTGGATGGACTATAAGTAAAAGAAAGCAGAGGTGGACAGAGTAGCTCCCCTACCATTTCTTAATCTCAAGCACCATAGGCACTAAAAACAATGTTTTGTTGGTCCAGTGAACAGGGAATCTTAGTCTGGACTCTCTGGGTAGGTTTTTAATGTTAAAAATGTCTTTAATTGGCACAAAGAAATTCAACATATTTAGGGGGTGCAATGTAACATTTCAATACGTATGCACAGCATATAATGAGTAGATCAGGGGAACTGGCATATGTACATTGCCTCAAATATATACCGTCTCTTTGTGTTGGAGACATTTATGATTTTTTTTTTTTTTGGTACTGGGGATGGAACTCATGACCTCATGCTTGCCAGGAAGGCTCTTAGGTCACTGAACTAAATCCCCGGCTATGTTAGGAACATTTAAAATCTTCTCTACTGGCTATTTTGAAATAGTCATGTTTTAAAATCAGTCATTACCCACCATAGTCCTTTTACTATGTTTCAGAGCATGAGAAGTGATTTCTCCCATAGAACTGCACCCCTGCACTCATTAGCCATTCTTTCTCCTCTGGGTAGGTTTTGGAGTTTGTGAACTGCATGAATTGTATCTAATTCAGCTTTGTGCATGGGTCTCAGAAGACGATCCATAGCTTTTGTCATATTTTCCAGAGTGACCTATGTCGAAAGGTTGATTGGAATACCATGATGTCCAGAAGTGGAAAAGGCAGGTCTGTTCCTACCTTTGGTGTCTAAGGCCTTTGCCACTGTGAGCAATGTAGCCTCAGATGAACCACGAGCTCTTAGTCCTCCATAGTTAGGGGTCGGGCAGAATCATGGCAGCAGACCAAGTTTGGTATGAGTAACTTCTGGAAGTATCAACCTTTCATAAAGGACATCTTTCAGGCCATACCCAACTCAAGGGGGAAATTCATGCAATTCTAGGCACCAAAGAGGCCCAGAAGAGGTGGAGGGCTGGCTAACACCATAGAAACCATAGAACATCTCCAATAATCAACTTTGTGAATCAGATTGTCCCTTGCTAAAATGTTCTGTAATTAGGAATAAATAAAACCTTTACAAACCTGGAGATCTTTTAAAAATTCTATCGACTGGTTACAGCTCTACCTACATTTTTGAATATCTTTGAAACTGACGCGTTATTCATGCAGTTAGAAGGAAAATATTGTGCTTAATTTTTTGTTTTCCATTTTCCTGGTCTATCAACATTTAAGTGCCTAAATGGAGGGCAATATATAGCTCAAATTTATTTTATATCATCATTCAGTGAATCCAGAGGACTCCATCCAGGACAGCACATCCAGTCAGTGGTCAGTACAGTCTCACTGGTTTCCTAAACACAATTAATCCAGAGTTAAAATCAGGATTCAAAGCATACAGGAAATAAATATATTGCCAAAAGTATTTAACAAATTCTTTAAAAAGTCCAATTAATGAGATGAAAACAAATTAATGGCTTTGGAAACAGAATCAAAGAAAAGTCAGATTCAAAAGTTTAGAGTCAGTTGAAAGGAGAGAGATTATCCAAGAGAATTTCAGGTACCCGTAGGCCAATTTGAGCCCAGAGAGTATTTAAAAAGTACCAATACGATACTTAACCCTTGTACTGTTAGTATAAATAGATGAGAAAGTGAAATTATCTAAAGCACATAGTTAGACAAAAGTTAGGAAGTAAGCTTATTTACTAGGAAGAAAGCACAGTTATTTATTTTTTATTGAAATAGTGTCTTAAAAGTAGAAAATATGGAATAGGTAAAAATGATCATACCACCCTACCTCAATGCGCTATTTGCATACTCTCTCAGATCTCTTATATGGATCTATTTTATAGGTGCAAGCCAAGTGAAAGTACTTGTATCGTTGAAAAAGGGTGTTAAATTTGAGTAAAAAAATAAAATTACATTTATTAAGTGGAATCTTCCTGCCTCTCTCATTTAATCAAAGCAGAAGTGAGTGCTTGCATTGTTGCCATAGAAAGCTAGCAACAGTGGAGAAAAATGAAAGGCATAGAAGTCTACCTAGAACTTAGCTAACAAGAACAACTTCTTTTTTAAAAAAAATTTTATTTAAGGAGAAAAGAGAAAAAAACAGAAAAAGGGTACAAGTTATACAGAATTTCAGAAAAAATAAACAGTAGGAAATCACTAGTTAATTACATATTGTCATCCTAGAAATAGTTGTTCAAGTTACAAAATTAAAGCATATAGAGGGGACTTTCAAACAGCGAGACTGCAAATAGTTTTGTTCAATGATCCAACAAAACTCAGTAATATGGTTATCTATCTTATACACTTAAATATATATGCAGTTATATCCTTTAGAGCACTTTCTTTTCCTTTCTTTTGTACAATGACAATTACACATTTTGGGTTTTATTACTCCCACAGTTCTTATTACTTTTTTTTTTTTTTTGAAGAAAGTAAAACCAAATGTGACATAACAGGACAGAGTCAGTCAAATCAAAAAGATGGACATAATACATAATATAAAAACAAAATACAAGATGATCAACAATGGTTACCATATGCCTCTTGTTATCTTAAAAAGAATTGCCTGTATCATGTTATAATAAAATTGAACAAAACAGTAAAGAATAAGACCAATAAAAACAAAACATTGGAGACATTAGAGGACTTCAAAAGAAGATAATAGTCAACCAGAATGGGTGTCACAATGAATCTTATTGTCTTCATAGTTGTTGCCTATACTTTCACACTTGGTACTATCAAGCATAACAGAATAGAGGAAAATCAGTCAAAACAAGAGGGTGAGAGCAATACAGGGTTTCAAATCAAGTTAATAGGAAATCAAAGTGGGTTACTATAATATATCCTTCTATTTTTTATTTTTCCCTTAATTAAAAGGATAAAAATGAAAAAGTAGATAATAAAAAGGAGATTGAGATAAAAAAGAGGGCATAACAACAAAACAGTGCAGGTCAAAACATAGCCATTTAAGCAAAATAGTGTTTCACCACAAGATAATCTCGACATAATAGTAGTTACCATAGTGTGTCTTCCCTTAAAATCTTTGGGTATAACTTCATATACTGTAGCATCAAACATATCAAGACAATGTAAAACCATTCAAGAGAATGACAGTATTACAGGGTATTTAGAATCAACTAACAGAAAATGAACAATGGTTTCTGTATAATCTCCTTGTCTATAAAAGTTTTTGTTTATATTGTCACATATAATAAAATCCAATAAGATGCAATACGTTAAAACCGATGGAGACAGAAGAACAAAAGCTTGATGGGACTTCAAAACAAGAGGTTATTAAATCAGCACTAGCTATTATGATGTCTTTTTTTCTCCAAAATGGCTGATCCTACCATCCAACCTTCTCTGCCTCATTTCTGTTGAGCTCTTTTTCTGTCATTAGTTGTCAGTTTGTCTTCTTCATTTCGCTTTCTGCTCCATTCATTGTGGGCTCTCTGCCAGTGTTTCTGGAATCTTGGTATTTTTCATTTTTAGAATATCCTGCAGTAGTAATCTCTGTAGAGTTGAATTGGTGGTTGCAAATTCCCCTAGTTCCTCTTTATCCTGGAAGCACCTTGTTTTTCCATCAATTTCTAGGGATAGTTGTGCAGGATATATCAATCTTGGCTGGAGGTTGTTATCTTTCAAAGCTTGCATAATTTCCCTCCATGCTCTTCATGGTTTGATGGTTTGTGCCGTGAAGTCTGCTGTAATTCTGATGGGTGTTCCCTTGTAAGTGATCTGTTTCTTGTCTCTGATGGCTTTTAGTATTCTGTTCTTATATTGGATTTCTGGAATTTTGATTATTATATGCCTGGGTGTAGCTCTGTTAGGGTTGTAGGTAGCTGGGGTCCTGTATGCCTCATACATCTGAGTATCTTTACCTGTTGCTAAATTAGGGAAATTCTCCTGGATTAATTCTGTGAATAGCTTTTGTAGTTCATTTGTTTGTGTCCCTACTTCTTCTTTTATGTTCTTAATTCTTAAGTTATAGATCCTCTTATCATCTTCTAGCCTTTGAATTATTGCTGTTTGTTTTCTTGTTATTTTTAAGAAGTTTTTCACTTCATGCTCCCACCTTACAAATATGTTCTCCAGTTCTGATAATCTATCCTTAGTTTCTTTTAAGCTGTTATGCCAGCTTTCAATAGAGTTTTTAGTTTTCTGGTAATCTCTTTGAACCTGCTTCATGTATTTTATGTTTTCTCTATTTTCTCCATCAAACAATTCTCCCCTTTTTTTCTGTTCTTCCATTCCACCATCTTTTTTTTCTTGGGCGGTGCTTAGCATTTCTCTAACTATTCTACTTATTTCTTGCCTTATTTCCTTAAATACTTCATTTTTGAAGTCGTCTATGAGGCTCTGGAGGTTCCGCTTTATATCTATAGGTGCCGTGTCTGATATTGCATGTTTTTTGTCTTCATTCTCTTTTGCATTTACCTTTCCTGGATCAGTGTTCTCAGGATTGGGGACTGAGGACCCTTTCTTGTTGCTCCCTTTCCCCATACTTTTTGTTCTTTCCATACAAGCGTATGTAAGAGGCCCAGTTTTTTTTCCTCTTTGTCTGTTACAGTGTATTTGAATCTGCCGGCTAGGTGTTCCTGCCCAATGCAGTGTACTAGGGAGACAGACCTGGGCAGCCTCTGCTGGGCTCACCCCTCCAGGTCAACCTACTGAATGCTTCACTGCTAGGGTGCACCACCAGGTGCAGGGACCTGATTTGGGTTAGCCTACTGGATCTTAGTCCCCGGCGTCATCAGGCCAAGTGCTCCCCACCAATCCCGCTTGAGAGGGGAATATGTGACTAAAGTCTGCCCATTCCCAGAATGTCCTCTGTTGGAGCCTGCTAGTCTATGAAAGGGCCCCCATTTCTCTCACTCACCATGGGTCGATGCAGGGCTCCCTGCCAGTCCTGCTCTCAATGCCATTTGGTTCGCTGATTCCCGCTCTCAGAGCTTTCACGCATCTCTCTCCCTGCTGTGCCGATTGGGATGCAGCAAGGGCAGCAGGAAATTCAAATCGCGGCTTCCAGTAGCGCGGGCTCCAGCCTCCACACTGAGATTTTATCTGTTCATGTTATAGCATCAGGATTGCATTTCCAGTTGGTTTTTCTCAGCTTAGTTCATTCCTGGGTTGGCAGGGTACATCTCCCCTCATTTAGGACTCCTCACACGGCACTGCTCCTGGATTCTAAGCTGGTAATCTCAGAGAGCCTCTGTGGCTGCTATTTGTCCGCCATGTTCTCCCGGAAGTGAGAACGACTCCTTTTTAAGTGAAACAAATAGCAAAATATCCAGCCACCTGCCACATAACAGGGCTCAATGATTACTTGTTGAACTGAATACTGTGACATAGGAAACATCTGGAAAAATATGCATTATGTAGAAAAAAACTTTAATTGTCCTTAAACAACATTAAACAACAGATAAACACAGTGGATCATGAACTTAATATTGGATGTGTGTATTCTTTACATAATTTGTATAAATTTAGAGTATGTTTAATATATGTTCTCTAAAAAGTAGGTTAACCCCTAACTTTATGGGCTCCCCTAAAACAAATGGGAAATTGGAAATATGGGCTCCCCTAAAGCAAATGGAAAATCCTGAAAAGAATAACTGTCTCTCCAGCCAGGTATTTCCCTAGTCAGGGTACTTGCAAACATTTAATAAAAGCACTTTTGGTTTTTTTTTTTTTTAGTTCAACAGTCATCAAAGTAGAGGGAATTAGCTTCACATAATTTTCTTTTTTAAAAATTTTTTTATAATTATATTTTGAAAGCAGTAAAATACAACAGAACAAGACAGAATAAAGCCAACTAAGACTGCACAATGAAATTGGTACAGAACTTCACAGCAGGTTACTGGGATAACAGTATAGGTATCACAGTATATTTTGTTATCTTTACAATAGTTGTTCTTCCAATCACATATATCAAAATGAGATGAAATATAGAACACTATAGAACTTATCAAAACAGAATATTGAATAGAGCAGTACCATTAATCAGAATAGAACAAAACAGTAATAAAAATATTTGCCTTCAAAGAGACGGTAGAAGGAAGTCCCTCTTATTTGCTATGGTCAACCTCCCAGGAGATGCTCAGATTTCTGGTTCCCATTTGCTAACGGAGGGACACGAGAAGAGGGCAGGGGAAGTGGGATGTTTGACTCTAGACCGTGCACCAGTATGTTCACTATTGCTTAGCAGGGAGGCAGGCTGATTGCTTGGTGTCCCAGCGTCCTAAGTTCCAACATGGTGCGGATCTCAGGAGCTGCTGGTGGTTCTCCAGCTTCACATAATTTTCTTGGCCAGGCCATATACCTGAAAAATTGCATTGGGGTTTTAATGCACTTTTCAGGTTTTGGAACCAGTGTGGCCCCCAGATTATGTATTTGTAATGATTCTTAAAAAATAACAAGCAGGATGATTTAAAACCTGCTCCTTCTTTATGACATCTCCAGAGTTTTGTTGAGAAGACCTTGTTGTTTCTCATCAAGTGGAAGAGGGAGAATCATGAATTATTTGGGTGTTTGACCTACATCACATGAACCCTTGTGAGCCACCTTGCCCAGACCTAGTCAGAGTGATGAGTATTGGTCCCTCCTCTCCGTCACACTTCCCATCCAGATTAGCTCCATCATCTTGGGATGAAGGCAGAAAATAACTTTGCTGCTGTCTATGACTTTCTTAGTTGCCAACACAAGAGCTTGATTACACTGGGGGAAATTCCTGAATTAAGGGAAGAATCATCATGTACACTTTTGATTATACTCTGCAGGCTTCTGGGTGGCAGTAGTGGGGGTGCCTCTGCCTGCCCTCACTCAGGTAACGCCCAAAAGTTACCCAAAGCTACACTAAAGATTCAGTTTGTGGACACTAAAAAATGGGAGTTAGAGAAGCAGAAAGATAGTGATTTCTAGGAGCTGGGAGGGGGATTGAGCATAGGACGAGAGAGACATTGGTCAAAAGGTAAAAAGTTTCGATTAGGCAGGAGGAGTAAGTTTGAGGGACTTATTGTAAAATACAGTGAATATAGTTAATAATAATGTGTTATACACTTGAAACTTTCCAAGACAATGGACCTTAAATATTTTCCTAACCAAAAAATACAAGCATGTGAGGTGATGGATATATTAATTAACTTGACTAAGCCATTTCACAATGGATATGGGTATCAAAATTTCACATTGTGCACTATAATATATATAATTTCAATTGGTCAACTAGACTGTAATTCAGAAAAAAGATATTTGGCATTTTGTTGCTGCCAGTCTTTGACTTCTGCAATCTTGTTCTTCCGAAGGGGGATTTCAGGCGAGACTAGACCACCAAGAGCACCTGAGGTTGATGCACTAGAGGGAGAGAGCATAGTTTGTTCATGTTATACCATTTCAGAAGATCTGTGGGACCCGCGGATCTGGTAATAGTGGACTGGTAGTTGGAAAACGGAGCGGGTTTTTTTTTTGGAAGAGCTGAGGCTTTGCTTGGCATTGATTTTCTTTCTGTACTTTTATTTTAAGAGATCAGGAGGAGAAACTCAACGTGCAGTGACTGAGCTGAGTAAGGGAAAGACACCCAGGGATCACACTGTGTGTGAAGAAGGCCATAAAGGAAGCCACAGGTTTGGATCTTGATTGTCCCCCCAAAACCCCATGCATTAAAGGCTTGGTCTCCAGCCTGTGATTGCACTGGGAGGTGACAGCACTCTTAGGAGATGGGGCTCCTAGTATGAAGTTTCCCCTTGAAGGGGACATTGAAGCTTCACCTCCTTCCTCTCTCTTGTTTCTTGACTTTCATAAGGTGAACAGACTTCCTTTGTCATGAAATCTGCCAAGATCTTCTATGCTATAACAGGTCTAAAGCTATAGTACCAAGTGACCAGCGACTGAAATTGTGAAGTTGTGAGCCAAAACAAACCTTTCTTCCCTGTAAGTTGTCTCAGGTATTTTGTTACAGTGACGAAAAGCTGAGTATTAGAGAGGTTTGGGGCTCTGTGCAGGCCAGAGGGGACATACAGAGCTGGAGCAGTTCCTGGTGCTGGGAGTGATGCTGCTAGGCTGCAGGTGTCACCATGTGGTGAGACAAGGATCTGCTGGAACAAAAAACTTGTAAAGTCCATCATCTGACAATTGAATGACCTTAGAGAGGCTGTTCTCACTTCATGTTTTGAAAACAATAAGTGTGTGAATGATTGAAATTATGCATTTTTGGTACTTTAGTAGTCCCTACCTATACTTTTACAGATTACTCCAAATCCAGATTGAGCATACCTTACCTGAAATACTTGGGACCAGAAGTATTTCAAATTTCTTTTGAATTTTTGGGATTTTTTTGGGGGGTGATACTGAGGGATACATACAAAGAGATATTTTGAGGATCAGTACTAAGTTTAAACAGAAATTTATTTATGTTTCATATTACCTTTTATGCATATCTTCAAGGTAATTTTATGTACTATTTTTAAGTATGCATGCATCTTGACTGTGATCTATCACAGGAAGCAAAGTGTGGAGTCTTTAACTGGTGGTGTAGGCTATTGGCACAGTTTGGATTTTTAATTTTCAGGTTCGAGAGGAAATAAAAGTGGATAAAATAAAATCAACAGAACTTTTCCAAAATGCCTGGGGAAAGACAGTGGTAAGTTGGATCATAGAGAAGTCTACATCACAAAATGGAATATAGTTCATATTTCCTGTTTCTGATATGACAAAGAAGAATCCGACCCTTTGAAAAGTGATTCATTTCTTCTCACCGATGTAGCAGTGAAAAACTCATTTTTATGCAACAAATCCTGATCTTCAAAAAAGTCCTGTAAGATTTTACCACATCTCATAAAAACTCACAAGGAATTCCACAACATAGGACCAGTCTGCCTCACATTTTCACACGAGCAGCCCCAGGGAGTCTGAGGAGCTGCATGGTGACATTCAGATGTGTTTGAACTTGATGGGCCTTCTAAGACCACACGTACACTCCTGATACTTTTGTTTGTATTTTGTATATTTACTTAGATGATTATTCTATTATGAATGATAAAGCTTTTTTAGTGTTACAAAAACCTATCTTTTAAAATCCAGTAAGTGCAAATTTCTTTATTCTGACTTGTGGAATTCAAAGGAAAAGTCCAATGTCCGATGTTTTCTCTAGTCAGGTATTTGGCATCAAGTCGTAGGTGCTTCCCAACAAAGACTGCAGTGAACAGTGACTATAATTATAAGCCTCTCATAATTTGAAACAATTGATGTTGGGAGTGACTGTCTTGCTAAACTGTTTTGTATCTTTCCTTTGGTCTCTTCCAACCAATAGAACTGAATAGAACTTCCTAAGAAGAGTAACATCATAAGCCTTCCATTTATTCTGATCTGATTCCAAATTCCCAATGAGAGATTTTTGCCCCTCTCTGACCCACTCCATCCAAGGCAGAGGCTGCTTGCAAACCAGAGCAAATGCTGACACAGATTTGCATTTTCTAGGGCTCTTCAAAACACAAATAAGGGTTCCATGGCCTCCCGCAGAGTGGCCAAAAATAGACAATTTTCCATGGTCCACTGGAAAACTGGCATTTATCAGCGAGAGGAAGCTTATTCATTTATGTAACAGCACATTATGTAGATGGTTTTTCAACTGTCTACACAAAATCCAGCCCAAGGGTGAACCCCATCTTTTCTTAGTTTTTGGAGCATTAAAGACCAGTCTGTGTTCTAGAACCGGGGTGATCATAGCCAATCCATTGTAGCATTTGCTCTGCGTATTTTAACATGGGAAATTAGTACAATTCAATCACTCTCAGTTCCTGGCTTTCTTAGGAAACAGAAGGCAGATTTCATTTTAGATTTTAAGTCTAACACATTCAAATACCTCCAGCACCTCTAGAGAGCAGCACTGTCCATAAGAGCTTTGTTAAGGTGGAGGTGCTGGTGTCCAAAGTGATTGAGAAAGCTCAGGAATCCTCTTGCTTTTCTGAGTCAGGACACAAGAATAAAATAGCAATTGGCCAGGCAGACAATGACAAGGACAGATTCTGAATAGTAGTGTTCTAGAGTTGTCCTGTCTGTCCCATGGCTGTCTCTAGCACACAGCTTTGTATGATTTAACTCCAGAGTAGGATGAAAATGTTCCAGAACTGGATATAATAAAATCGAGTTGTATAAAATGAGTTGTATAATTAAGGTATGTTTTATGGTATGTGAATTATATGACAATTAAAAAATGTTTATCTGAAGACAAAAATGAAAAATTAAAAAAACTCCTGACTTGAATCATTATGAATTTAATATTTTCTCTCTCTCTCTCTCTCTTTCTCCCTCTCTCTCTCTCTCTTCTGTGGTCTGTTACTTTTCCCAGCTTCTATAAATGTATTCAGTTGGAGCTACTGGGAATATAACAGAACACACCACTAAACAAATTGCTAACAGTGACTTAAAAGATGGCACGATTTTCAGGCAAGCTTATGACGGGCGATTGGTCTTACACACATGCTGAAGCTACACGATGCCTCCTTTACTGCTAATAACAGAGTAATTTCAACTCTTGTGTAGCTTGATCTCTTCTTCTACTTTTTACTCAGCACTTGAAACTGATAAAGGAAATTGTTTTCTAAATTGGTTGTTCTCAGGAAAGAAGTAATTTTGAGAATACATTTTAAAATACTGCAATGAAGCTTAAAATGAATGCTTTATCTTTCCTAAAAGGAAACAGATTCAAAACAGTTCATAATGAAGGTTGAGGCCAGGGAGACAGCTCAGGGGCACAGTGTCTGCCTGCTAGGTGTGAGATCATGAGTTCAATTCCTGGTACCAAAAAGGAAATAACAACAACAAAAATTAATTCCGTGTTATTCCTCTCTAACTATTCAGTTTCAACTTGTAAAGAAGGTTGAATGACTTTTAAAAAGCCTAAATTTTCCTCCACATAAGATATTTTATTGTGCTAAAATGCACATGACATAAAATTGACCGGTTTAGTAGGTTTAAATACAGTCAATACATTCATGTTGTTGTGTGGTCTCCTCCACTACCTGTTTCCAGAACATTCTCATCGTCAGCTGAACTGCTGTCTGCGAAGCACTAAACCCCTAGCTCTTGTGTCCCACTTCAGTCCTGGAAATCACCATTCTGCTTTCTGTTCCTGTGAATTTGACTATATAGGTCTCTCAAATAAGTGAAATAATACAGCATTTGCCCTTGTATAATTGCTTTGTTTTTCACTTACCATAATGTCGTCCAGTTTTGTCTATGTGGAGTAGACTATTACATCAATATACCACATTTTAAAAATCCATTTATTCATTGATTGACACTTGGATTGATTCTTTTGATTAGTGCAAATAATGCTGCTATGAACCCAGGTGTGTGTATATTTGTCTGACTCTGATTTCTTCTTTTTGTACATTAGTTGAAATATATGGTAACTCTGTGTTTAATTCTTATGAGGAATTGTCATACCATTTTCCATATAGGCTGCAACATTTTATATTCCCATAGACAGTGCAACAAATGTTTCATTTTTTCACATGCTTACTAGCCCTTGTAATTTTTGTTTGTTTAGTGCATTTACTTATGATGGCCCTTCCACTGTGTGTGAAAAGACAATCTCCTTTCCTTCTAAGGGTTTTATAGTTTTAAAGTCTTTGGTGCATTTTGACCTAATTTATGTACAGGGTTGTAATGCAGTGATTTGCCTTTATATTTGCTTGTGAGTATCTTGTTTTCTCAGTGCCATTTGTTGAAAAATTCCTCATCTCAATAAATGATCTGGCAGTCCTATACAAAGCCATTTGCTGCAAGGGTATAGCTCTAGGCTATTCTACACCCTTTGTCTGTACCATATCTGTTTCTATCTGTTTCTATGCCAGTAGTATCTTATTTTGATTACTGTAGAATGTAGTAAGTTTGGAATCAGGAAGTGTGAAGCTTCACAGTTCATGTGTTGTAGGATTATTTAGGTTATTCTGAGTATCTTGAAATTCCATATGAATTCAAAGTCTATTCCTGAGTATCATTCTTTTTGGTGTTGTAAATGGAATTGGTTTTTTAATTTTCTTTTGAGATTGTGCATTGAAAGGGTATATAACTTTTAAAATTTGTATCCTGCAACTTTTATGAATTCATTATTAGTTCTAAAAAGTGTATGTGCGTGTGTTTGGTGTGAATTTGTGTAAAATCTTTAGGGTTTTCAAACGGCATTGAGAGCGGGACTGGCAGGGAGCTCTGCATCGACCTGCGGTGAGTGAGAGAAATGGGGACCCTTTCATAGACTAGGAGGCTCCAACAGAGGACATTCTGGGAATGAGCAGGCTACCTGGAACAGGGCTCTGCAGTGACTTTAGTCACATATTCCCCTCTCACGTGGTGGGGAGTGCTTGGCCTGGTGATGCCACGGGCTAAGATCCAGTAGGCTAGCCCAAATCAGGTCCCTGCACCTGACCGTGAACCCTAGCAGTAGGTTGACCTGGAGGGGTGGGCCCAGCAGAGGCTGGCTGCTCAGGTCTGTGTCTCCCTAGTACACTGCAGTGGGTGGGAACATCTAGCCAGCAGATTCAAACAAACTGTAACAGACAAAGAGAGAGAGAGAGAAAAAAAACTGGGCCTCCTACATACGCTTGCATGGAAGGAACAAAAATATGGGAAAAGGGAACAACAAGAAAGGGTCCTCAGTCCCCAATCCTGAGAACACTGATGCAGGAAAGGTAAATGCAAAGGAGAATGAAGACAGAAAACATGCAATATCAAACACGGCACCTATAGACATAAAGTGGTATCTCCGGAGCCTCATAGACGAGTTCAAAAATGAAGTATTTAATGAAATAAAGCAAGAAATAAGTAGAATAGTTAGAGAAATGCTAAACACCACCCAAGAAAAAACAGATGGTGGAATGGAAGAACAGAAAAAAAGGGGAGAATTGTTTGATGGAGAAAGTAGAGAAAACATAGAATACGTGAAGCAGGTTCAAAGAGATTACCAGGAAACTAAAAACTCTGTTGAAAGCTGGCATAACAGCTTGAAAGAAACTAAGGATAGATTATCAGAACTGGAGGTCAGATTTTTAATGTGGGAGCATGAAATGAAAAACTTCTTAAAAATAACAAGAAAACAAACACCAATAATACAAAGACTAGAAGATGATAAGAGGATTTATAACTTAAGAATTAAGAACATAAAAGAAGAAGTAGGGACACAAACAAATGAACTACAAAAGCTATTCACAGAAATAATCCAGGAGAATTTTCCTAATTTAGCAAAAGGTAAAGATACTCAGATGTATGAGGCATACAGGACCCCAGCCACCTACAACCCAAACAGAGCTACACCCAGGCATATAATAATCAAAATTCCAGAAATCCAATATAAGAACAGAATATTAAAAGCCTTCAAAGAGAAGAAACAGATCACTTACAAAGGAACACCCATCAGAATTACAGCAGACTTCTCGGCCCAAACCATCAAATCATGAAGAGCGTGGGGAGAAATAATTCAAGCTTTGAAAGATAGTAACCTCCAGCCAAGATTGATATATCCTGCACAACTGTCCCTAGAAATTGATGGAAAAACAAGGTGCTTCCAGCATAAAGAGGAACTAGGGGAATTTGCAACCACCAGTTCAACTCTACAGAGATTACTACTGCAGGATATTCTAAAAATGAAAAATACCAAGATTCTAGAAACAGTGGCAGAGAGGCCACAATGAATGGAGCAGAAAGCAAAATGAAGAGGACAAACTGACAACTAATGACAGAAAAAGAGCTCAACAGAAATGAGGCAGAGAAGGTTGGATAGTAGGAACAGCCATTTTGGAGAAAACAAGACATCATAATAGCTAGTGCTGATTTAATATCATCTTGTTTTGAAGTCCCATGAAGCTTTTGTTCTTCTGTCTCCATCGGTCTTAAAAAGTTGTATCTTATTGGATTTTATTATATGTTGTAATATAAACAAAAACTTTTATAGACAAGGAGATTATACAGAAACCATTGTTCATTTTCTGTTAGTTGATTCTAAATACTCTGTAATACTGTCATTCTCTTGAATGGTTTTACATTGTTTTGATATGTTTGATGCAACAATATACGAAGTTATACCCAAAGATTTTAAGGGAAGAGACACTATGGTAACTACTATTATGTCAAGATTATCTTGTGGTGAAACACTATTTTGCTTAAATGGCTATGTTTTGACCTGCACTGTTTTGTTGTTATGCCCTCTTTTTTTATCTCAATCTCCTTTTTATTATCTACTTTTTCATTTTTATCCTTTTAATTAAGGGAAAAATAAAAAATAGAAGGATATATTATAGTAACCCACTTTGATTTCCTATTAACTTGATTTGAAACTCTGTATTGCTCTCACCATTTTGTTTTGACTGATTTTCCTCTATTCTGTTATGCTTGATAGTACCAAGTTTGAAAATATAGGCAACAACTATGAAGACAATAAGATTCATTGTGACGCCCATTCTGGTTGACTATTATCTTGTTGACTAGTCCTCTAATGTCTCCAATGTTTTGTTTTTATTGGTCTTATTCTTTACTGTTTTGTTCAATTTTATTATAACTGATGATATAGGCAATTCTTTTTAAGATAACAAGAGGCATTATGGTAACCACTGTTGATCACCTTGTATTTTGTTTTTACATTATGCATTATGTCCATCCTTTTGATTTGACTGACTCTGTCCTGGTATGTCACATTTGGTTTTACTTTCTTCAAAAAAAAAAGTAGTAAGAATTGTGGGAGTAATAAAACCCAAAATGTGTAATTGTCATTGTACAAAAGAAAGGAAAAGAAAGTTCTCTAAAAGATATAACTGCATATATATTTAAGTGTATAAAATAGATAACCATATTACTGAGTTTTGTTGGATCATTGAACAAAACTGTTTGTAGTCTCACTGTTTGAAAGTCCCTTCTATATGCTTTAATTTTGTAACTTCACCAACAATTTCTAAAGATGACAATATGCAATTAACTAGTGATTTCCTACTGTTTATTTTTTCTGAAATTCTGTATAACTTGTATCTTTTTTCTGTTTTTTTCTTTTTTCTCCTTAAATAAAATTTTAAAAAAATACAAAAAAAATCTTTAGGGTTTTCTACATGTAAGATTATGTTTTCTGTGAAAAGGAAAATTTTATTTCTTTGGTGGTCTTTTATTCCTTTTTCCTCCCTAGTTGCTCTCCACAAGACTTCTGGTAGTATACTTAGAAAATATGGCAAAAAATGGGGACTCTTGTCTTGTTCTTGATCTTTTTTTATTAAAAAATTGAAAGGAGATTAAGATAAAAGGGGACATAACAACATAATAACAGAGGTCAGAACAGAACAATTTAAACAACATAGTGTTTCACCTCAAGATAACCCGACATAACAGTGGCTACCATAGTGTCTCTTTCCTTGAAATATTTGAGTATAACTTCATATATTATAGCATCAAACACAACATGACAGTGTAAAACCATTTAAGAGAATGAAAGATTTACAGGGTATTTAGAACCAACAGAAAACGAACAATGGTTTCTATATTATCTCCTTGTTTTGTTAATACTATCACATATAATAAAATCCAATAAGATTCAACACGATAAACCAATGGAGACAGAAGAACAAAAGCTTCATGGGATTCAAAACAAGATGATATTAAATCAGCACTAGCTATTATATGGTCTTGTTTTCTTCAAAATAACTGTTCATACCATCACAGACAATAAAATCAAACAACTCAGAATAAAACCATTCCAATTAATGAATGAAAACATTATAGGGCTTCAAAGAAATATAATGGGGAATCATGTTTACCACATACTTTTACATATTCTTACCATTTCATACACTAGGGAAACTATTCAGTATTTATACATGTAAAGTTTGATTTATTTCACTTATGAGTATCATCTCAAGCTGTGCCCATTTATTTATAAATATCTCAATGTGATCAGTCTTTATAGCTGAGTAGTACTCCATTGTATAAAAGTACCACAACTTTTTAATCCATTCCTCAGTTGATGGACACTTAGGTTGTTTCCAAGATCTGGCTATTACAAATTGTGCTGCTATAAACATGGGTGCACATATATCACTGTGGTATGATGTTTTCAGTTCTTCTAGGAATATGCCTAGAGGTGGAATAGCTGGAACAAATGGGACTTCCAATCCCAGTTTTTTGAGAAATCTCCACACTGACCTCCACAATGGTTGCACTAATCAATACTCCTACCAACAGTGCAGGAGATTTCCTTTTTCCCCACAGCCTCTTCAGCATCTGTTGTTGGTAGTTTTCTTGATCCTGGCCATTCTTTCAGGAGTGAGATGGAATGTCAGTGTGGTTTTAATTTGCATTTCTCTAGTGAGTAATGATGATAAACATTTTTTCATGTATTTATTTGCCATTTGTATTTATTCATTTCAGATGCCCATTTTTGGATGGGATATTTGAATTTGTCTGATTTTTTAAAATTCTTTATATGTTTTAGACGGAAGTCCTTTGTCTGAGGGAGAGTTCGGTAAGATTTTTTCCCAGTTTGTGGGTTTTCTTTTCACTATGTCAGAGATTTCTTTTGACATGCCGAAACTTTTTAATAAGAGATGATCCCAGTTATTGATTCTTGGAAGTATTTCCCACGCAGTTTGATTCCTGTTCATGAATTCTCTGCCTACCCGTGTGTCTTAAATGTTTTTACCCAATTTGTCTTACAGTAGATTTAGTGTTTCTGTTTTAATATTCAGATCTTTGATCCATTAAGATTTTAATTTAGTACATGGTGATAGGCATGGGTCTAGTTTTAGTTTTCAGCATACGGAGAGCCAGTATTTCCAACACCATTTATTAAAGAGACTATTGTTCTTCCAGTGAACATGGTTGGCCCCTTGATCAAAGATAAGGTGGTTGAGCATGTTTGTAGTTGTGGTTGTATCTTCTAATCTATTCCACTGATCTTCAGCTCCATTTTGATTCCAGTACCATGTTGATTTTACTACAGTTGCTTTGTAGTATAGCTTCAAGTCAGGGATTGTGATGCCTCCTGCCTTGCCTTTGCTGCCTTAGAACTGTCTTTGGTGTTCTAGGTCTCTTCTAGTTCCAGATGTATTTGAGGAGTGATTTCTCTTTCCATGAGGTATGTTGATGGTATTTTTATAGGTATTGCAATGAATCTGTATAGCAGTTTTGGGAGAATGGCCATTTTCACAATATTTATTCTTCCTATCCATGAGCAAGGGGTGTCTTTCCATTTTCTGAGATCGTCTTCAATTTCTTTTTTCAGTGTATTATAATTTTCCCTATATAGGTGTTTCACTTCTTTCATGAGAATAATTCCTAAATATTTCATTTTTTTGGTTGCTAGTGTTAAGGGTGTGGCTTCTCTTATTTCTCTCTCTGTGATTTTGTTTTCAGTATATAGAAATGCTATTGATTTTTGAGTATTGATTTTGTATATCCAGCTACATTGCTGAATTTATTTATTATATCTTTTACCCCTTTTATTTTTCTCTCTTGTCTAATTGCCCTGGCTAATATTTCCAGTACTATAATAAATAGGAGTGGTGTTAAGGAACATCGTCTTGTGCCCGATTTTAAGGTAAAGACCTTCAGTTTTTGGCCATTAGTATGATACTGGCTGTTGGTTTGTCATATATGGCCTTTATTATATTGAGGTAAAAACCATCTATTCCAATTTTCTGTAAGGTTCTTATAAATGAATGTTGGACCTTATCAAAAGCTTTTTCTGCATCCATAGAAATGATCATGTGATTCTTACTTTTGGCTTTATTGATATGGTGGATTACATTTATTGATTTATATATGTTGAACCATCCCTGCATGCCTGGGATGAATCCCACTTGGTCATGGTGTATAATCTTCTTGATGATTTGCTGCATCCTATTTGACAATATTTTATTGAGGATTTTTGCATCTGTGTTCATGAGGGAGATTGGCCTGTAGTTCGCTTTTTTGGTTGGATCTTTCTCAGGTTTTGGTACTAGAGTAATATTTGCTTCCAGGAATGACTTAGGAAGAATTGCTTCCCTTTCAATTTCATTGAATAGTTTGAGGAGTGTCGGCATTAAGTCTTCTTTGTATTTCTTGTAGATTTCTGCAGCGAATCTGTCTGGGCCTGGGGTCTTCTTTGTAGGTAGGGACTTAATTACATTATCAATTTCATTAACAGAAATAGGGTTATTCAGCAGTTTTACATCCTTTTGACCCAGCTTTGGTACTTCATATGTTTCTAGGAATCTATTTCTTCTGTGTTATCAAACCCATGAGAGTAGAGGTTTTCAAAATAGGTGTTGATGATCTTCTGTATTTCTACAGTTTGTAGTGATTTTGCCTTTTTCATTCTTCATTGCGTGAATTTGAGCTTTTTCTTCCCCTTTTTAAAAATAAGGTTGGCTAGGGGTTTATCAATTTTATTTATTCTTTCAAAGAACTAACTCTTTGATTCATTGATTCTTTGGATTGTTTTCTTACTCTCTATTGCATTAATTTGCTCTGATTTTTATAATTTCCTCCCTTCTTTTGGCTTTGGGCTTGACTTACTCTTCTTTTTCTAGATGTTTGGGGTGTAGCATAAGGTTACTTATTTGTATTCGTTCTGTTTTCCTGATGTGGGAACTCAGTGCCATAAATTTTGCTCTGAGGACAGCTTTCATTGCATCCCACAGATTCCCGTAAGTTGTATTTATATTTTCATTTGCTTGTAGGCATTGTTTAATTTCTTCTTTAATTTCTCCTGTGACCCACTTATTACTCAAGAGTGTGTTATTCAGTTCCATGTGTTTGTGGGATTTTTGCAGTATCTTTTATCATTAATTTCTAATTTCATGGTGCTATGATCCGATAACATGCATGGGATGATTTCAACTCTTTTGCATTTATTTAAATATGTTCTGTGGGCTAATATATGATCTATTTTAGAGAATGTCCCATGTACTGCTGAGAAGAATGTGTATTCTGATGTTGTTGGATGGAACATTCTGTATACATCTATCAAGTCCATTTATTCACAAGTGTGATTCAGCTCTGTTATTTCTTTGCTGATTTTCTGTCTGGTTGATTTATCCGTTGATGTCAATGGTGTGTTAAGGTCTCCTGTTATAATTGTGTTACTGTTAATTTGGTTTTTCATTTCTGTTAATACTTGCTTTACATAAGTGGGTGCTCTGGAATTTGGTGCATATATATTTAAGATTGTTATCTCTTCCTCTTGGAGTTTTCGCCTAACCAGTATGTAATGACCTTCTTTATCTCTTCTGATCATTATTGGTTTAAAATTCATGTTGTTTGCAAACAAA